TAATTAAAATTATAATTTATATGGCAAATCACACTTTTAATATACAATCTATTATGTAAAATATGAATTTCATTTGCAATTCTATATAAAAAGTAATTTGTTTATTTTTATATATTTTATAACATATTATTATGATTATTAAAGAAATAAGAATAAAAATAATTTTAATATTTTTTAACAAATTAATATTTTCAATTATTGGTTTTAAACTCATTTTATACATATTGTTGCCTTTTTTTTTTTTTTCGAACAATTTGTAATTATTTACAAGGTTAATTGGGGGAGGGGAAAAAGGGATTCCGTGGGATTTGAACGTGTAATCTACGGAGGTGAACAACCCTAACCCAAGGTCCGATATCACTGGGTCAGAGCGGGCCGTTCATATTGTTGTCTTTAATAGTTGCAAAAAACCCAAACTAAAAATCAAATATCACAAATATATCAAATAAAGGCATAGTTATCTCAACTTGCTAGCTTGATTAATTTTATAGAGACTTTGTAAATTGTCCGGTTCACGATAATAACAAGGGATCGAGTTATTTTACTTTGACCTATACTCTCGGGATAATATTCTACTCTTATCTAACATACATCTTTTGGGCAAATATTTTTCTTATCCTTATGTTTACACCATAAATTGCAAAAATTTAAGATCATGCCATGTGTCAAAACATTTTTAAATAAATGAAGGAGATTAAACCATGTCAGATTTATTATTATAAACTCCATGACAGATCAACTATCACATTGGTAGAAAAAGGAGATAAAAATAAGATTTTGAGTCTGTTTGGTGCAAATTGTGGGGAGAGCTTTTTGGCTCTAAAAGCACAAGCTACACCAAACGGGTTAGCTTCCCAAACTTATTGTATACTTACCTTTTTGAGTCAAAAAGGGATTGTTTTAGTTGAAATTTAGGAGGAGATTACAATTATAGAAGGTAGTTATCTGATAAGGGTACAAGTGGTGAAAATCTGGAAAGAGATTTGACCAGCTCAACTGTTGAACTATCCTACTACCTCAAGAAACCACTTACAACTTTGTAATTGTAGA